GAAGCAATAAGCTCAGTCAATATTTTGGGATCAAACCCCAAGGTTTATTCATTATTTTTAACTGGCTTTCGTTTGTTTTATTTTTTATTTTTTGTATGTTTGTTACGCGGTATCTCCGTCAATTGTGGACCGATTTTCAAAATTATTTTTGTAATCGAAAGGGTACGCTACCGAAGTGGTTCCATTAATACAATATCAGGATCTGATGATAGGTCCTAGAGAAATCGAGGGAAACCTTTAAATTTTACAGCCCCGAAAACGTGTTTTAGCTTATTTCTCTAGCTTTATACGTCCTTGACCTGTAGGAGTTAGAAAATAAGTCTTTCAAAAATCTAATCATGGAGTGATCTTTTTTTATTATTTCAAGATATTTGTGAGGTGTTTGTGTGGGGTTACAGCGATATGTGCACAAGAGAGTAATAAATGAGATTACAAAACATTTAGACAAAAAGAACTGTTTGTTACGCAATTATTTTCATGTTTCTTATTCATGACTTCAAACAGACTAGAAGGGACTATTGCTATTATAATGTTAGCTGTTATATTGCGGGTACTTATTGTAGTTTTTTTTACTTAGATTTGTAATTTTTTTATTATTTTTAAGTGCTCTTTGTCATTCAAATTTTTCAATTCAATCACTTTTTTAAAAGGATTTATTTGTTATATTACTTTCTTTACATGTAAAATAAAAGTCATATGTAAAAGAAAGGACTAAGGAGGCCAGCATACTGATTCTCCCAATCCCAATGGCTCATTTTTTGGTTGGCAATTCCTTAAAAGTGTATATATTATGCAAAACTGTTGGTTTTAGAGAAGACAGAATATTTCTAACGTTAAAAGATATACGATTTAAAAAGTATAGAGAAGGCAATTCAAATACGGAGCTTGAAATCATTAGAGGTAATAAAATTAAAAATATTCTGTCTTTGTTATTTTTTTTTAGGTTTGGTTTAAAGGCTCGGGCTTCACGGCAACAGCTGATTCGAGTTACAGGTATGCAACCCTGATATTGCCAGGTGAATTGACAAACCTAAGTAGTAGTGGGCGGGGCACATTGCTCGCAGAAAAGATTACCGAGCGATGGGGCCAAAGAGTTCTCGAGTGGCGACCGTGTACTGGAAGACAGAGCGTGGGTGGGTGAACAAGGTGGTCCGATGACCTGGTGAAGGTCACGGAAAGCCGTTGGATGCAATATAATTTTAAACAACAAAATAATCTATCACTTACAATGTACTCGGGAAGAACGGTTAAACTTCAAAACTAATATTCAAAATTATAAATATTACAAAAAAATAATAACTTTATGATCATTAAAAATCTTCTTTTAGCGGACATTTAAACTTAACATTTTCTGTATTTACACAAATAATTGTGTGAATTTGTAGGAAATTATGCTCTTTACTTTCAAGTTACATTTCATAAGGTGGTTCAAGATCTACTCATCATCTAGTAAAGCCAACTTAGTCGTGATAGTTTTCCTTTTAACTTTGTCACATATGTCCTGTGCTGTCCGCCTACGTGGCGCTCTCCCCAGGCTGACAATAGCCCCACTGCTATAGCAATTAGGCTTATCAATGAGTTTCTTCAGTATGCAGTAGTCCAGATGCAGATATATTTTTTGACTCCCAAAGCATAATTTTAAAACATATTTATACATATCTAAATTGTAAAGAGTAATTTTATAGTTCCTAAGTTGAGGTAAGGTTGTTTTTGTTTACAAATTTTATGTTATTTCTTTTTGATGGTCTGAGTTTTACAATTGTAATAGTATGTAGTTTATTTTTGGTAAAATTAGCATAGATATAAGCGATTTGATGTACACTGTGATGCTTATATTTTATTATTAATAAAGAATTGAATATGTTTTTACTGTGATTTATTTAATGTATCCGAAAATAGGCATCTGGCTGATACTACGCTTGACTAAAAATTGCACTATGAAGGGTAACATTTCGCTAACGGCCAATTCAGGGCAATTGAAAAATTGTGGCCACAAATCTGCATTTAGGAGTATATTATAAAAAAAAACAAGCCCACTGTACGTGTAGGGAAGGCACCTGCAAAATAAAAAAACAGGTGTGCTTTAGACCACACGACGAAACTTCTTGGCAATGAGAGAAAAAAATGTATGCCCGTACCTCTCTCTCTTGCACCTATATTAATATACGAAACGTAACTCTCGCTCTTTCTATCTTCACTAACTTATATCTTCCTCTCAACTTCCATTCGCCTCGCCCGATCACCCTTTTCGTAACGCTCTCGTCACGCATTCACTAGCTTACTCCCCGAGTCAAGCGTGCGTAAAGAAGTTTTACTTCAAAAATAAAATAGCTTTCTTTACTTCTAAACAGACAACTTCTGCATTAGGAATATATCCTGTATCGCGGGGCCGTTACTATATAAACAAACATGAAACGAACACAAAGAAAACCCAGATTCAGAACAAAAATTTGTGGAACACACAAAGTGTTGTCCCATACGGGGATCGAGCCCACAACACTCAGCGCAGTAGGAAGCGGCGAGGTGACCGCCACGCCATCCGTGTAGTTCAAATGTTGTATACTTGACCCGTGACTTGGTTCGCGTGGAATTTGAAAAGCGCTACCACGAGGCCTCGGGTTCGATTCCCGTACCGGGCAAAAGTTTATAGGGTTTTTCTAAGAGAAAAAATAGCAAAAATAGTAAAATATTATCAAAATCGGTACAGCCGCTTAGAAGATTACCCGCTACAAACAGACAGATAGACAGACAGACCGACAGACAGACAAAAAATATTTAAACTGGTTTTTAGGCAAAGGTTTTTTTTTTTTTAAGACCGACCGCATTAGGAATAAATCCTGTGTCGCGGGGGACTTTACAAACATACATGAAACGGACACAAAGAACACCCAGACTCAGAACAACAATTTGTGGATCACACAAAGTGTCGTCCCATGTGGGGTTTGAACCCACAACACTCGGCGTAGCAGGAAGTGGCGTGGCGACCGCTTAAACCACTACGCCATCCGTGCAAATAACCTTGTGAGTATGAAAAAAACTTATTATTTCGACATTACAAACAGACACTTCAATTTTAATTATTTGTATGTCGTATAATAATAATATTTGTATAATAATAACTGTTTTTAGGCATAGGTATCGTGCAAATAACCTTGTGAGCATTAAAAAAATCCTATTATTTTGACATTACAAACACACACTTCAATTTTATTTATTTGTAAAGAAATATGAATATGAATATACAGCAACACAACCATAGCACATTGCCACTTCGAGGGGTTTCTAAGCTAAGATACGGATGGACAAACATGGCGAAACTATGAATGTTCCTTGAAGAAACCATCAATTGCGAATTTTCTAAATTTATTTTAAGAATAACTGTAACAGGTTTTAGGCACTTAAGTAGGTTTGTTTTCTTCAAATGAAGAAAACTGAAAGTAAAAAAAAATAACACTAAAAACACAGTAACTAATAGTCAATTAAAGCTGTCGATATATGTAGATGATTTTCAACTCTGTGTAGCAGTGAATAAATAATGGAAATAAAGGAATAATTAACATATTAACAATTAACAATACTTATTTTAAATTTAACAATTCTACATCGGATTCATCGTCACTGTCGTCTTTAACTTTTTTTTATCAAAACAAACTTGCGCCTGCGCTCTTGCCTGCACCACGGATGTTCTGGCGATTCATGTTCAGTCTACAGTGAGTAAGTATTGTGATAAAGTAACTTACTTCCTACCTAAAGGATAACACGATATCCTTGATGATTGCCGGCAAGAGCTTACTTGCCTCTGGATTAATAGTAACTCCGAGAAAATATCTGCCTTTATCACGCATACCTTGACCAAGATATTACGTTGAAGTTAAATCGTGAGGTTAAGGTGTGGCGACGATATACCTGTATTCAATTAAACAAACGTATTATCTGTTATTTGAATGAGTTCAATAATTTATTAACATAAGAAATAAAATATACATGTGTCTACATTTATTGTAGTATTTTGCAACAACTTAACACCATTTATTAAGAATCATAAATAGTTAAGCAAAATTCGAAATGTCGATACCTTCTGACCCTTTCAAGTAATTATTTATTTATGGAGTAAATGGCAAGGACTAATTGATGCGCATAAAAATACATTTTACCTTTACATCAACTGATCAAACCAAAAAAGTTGTAATAATTAAATAGGCCAGGTCATTTAATTCTCTGCCGTATTTTTCAATTTGAAGACTTAGAAGAAAATACTTAAGGGCGATGGGAAATAGCAATGGTCTCCTTATAACCAACAAAAAACAACTCTGAAACTGATGTCTCGTCGTTTAGCTTCCCAAGTGACTGTATTAGTATTATTGTTTAAAAATGTGCATACATGTTTTACAAGTCTCTAAAGTTCACGTGACACAAACAAAATTTGGCACCTTAGCGTCAAAAATATATCACGCAATTGACTCACTGTTAATTAACACTTAGTTATGATAATGTGTTTTTCAAGTATACGGATATATCTAGTCTATAGTAGTTTGCAAGATGTAAAGACAATAATCGTGTTATGTTACTTTTAAAATTATACAAGTACTAGACTATATATTAGTAGATATATAAGTAATATTTTGGTAGATGTTTTTCTATTTCTAATAACTCAAATTAATTTACTGTAGAACATTCATGTAATGAAATGCCTCTGGGTGAAATTAAAGTCTTATAAAGTATTCTGTCATTTGTACAGTGAGTTTCATCAAAAACCTGAACTCGTTATTAGTACGAGTAACTGTTTTAATTAATTGTGATTTATTTTTCTTATTTAAATTAAAAAAAAGTGACGTAAATTAACTACTTCGTGTTTCTTTGGTTCATAGCCTACTCGTTAATTTGTACCAATGTAAATGGTTTTTAATATTCTATTTCTATTCTATTCTATTCTATTTCGATCAGTTTGGATGCATTTAAATATAAGGTTATCATTTAGTTAGAAAACTATTAGATACACACTAATTTAGATTCTTAAAATTGTCAAAATATTTCAAAATTTTTGGATGTACCAGTTCTGTAGCTGCTATATCCCAAATGTGATTATGATGACTCCAGTATGGTCTTGGAACAATGTAGTTTTCTTTTAAGTTAGGTAATTTAGATATTAATATATCAACATCTTTCAATGAAGATAAACGATCATTTTCAGCTGAGAACAACACAATTGGGGAGGATATCAGAGAAACGTTATATTCACGTGGTTTAGCTAAACCATAACGTTGAAGATTTCCTTTAATGCCTTCGTCATAACGTTGAAATTTGCCACTATTTACTAATTGTGCAAAATGCGAAAGATTTTTTATTGAAGTACCACTGAACAAATGACCGATAGCGATAGATATAGTTTTAAGCGTCATCGTACCTTGCTTGTGACCTGTAGAGAGAGTAAAACCAAGCTCACACAATGCTGGAACCTTTTGACACAAGAATTCAGCAATGTGATGCACAATACCTTGTCTAGGGAACACTTCTCTGTATCCAGCTGACTCCAAGAAATCTTTAATGACTTCATAGTTTTGTGCAAGTAAAACTGCTATACGATTATTTAAATATTTCATCCAAGCTACCGGTCCCAGCTGCACGGCTAAAAAAACCTTATTATTGTACTCAGGTCTTAAAGAACCCATTACAAAATATTCAGTTGTACCTTGAGAATGTCCAACGAAAAACAATTTTGGATATCCAGTCTTCTGAAGAATGTAGTCTATTATGGCAGGTAAATCATACCGTCCAGTTTCATCAAAAGAGTATTCCCAATACGTAGGATCCTTATTTGGATCAAGTCGGATATGTCGTCGAGAGTAATTATTACCTCTACCATTAGCAGCCCATACATCGTAACAATTTGTTGCTAACACGTAGCCCAGCCCTAAGTCGGTGCTAGGGATTATCCACATGTCTGAAGTATCAAACAATCCATGCATCATAAACACTGGATAAGAGTTAGTTCTATCACTACACTTTGATAAAATTCGAAAAATGTTCAAAACGTATCCATCTTCTGTGGTCACAGAATGTACTTCGGTTGGAAATTTGTACTTGGTGGTGAGTTCCGTGAAGTTCAAGTATATATCTTCGTTGAATCCCAGGGCCTGTTTGAGAAGCCGTTTGTCAGGTATGGAATACGATACGAGTTTATTCGTTCGAATCGGAGGCCTTGATGTATCAATATGGATCGTAAACAGTGTGAGTATTAAAATATATATCCAACACAGGACTGAAAATTGTTCCATCTTTATTCTTATGTCACGGATTGTTAACCGACGTATGTTTGCATTGTAAACCAGAATCCAGTTTTATAACATTCGATCGACCTTCCTTGTAGACCTTTAAGATAACTACTACGCTTATAAAAAATTGCCCGTTTAAGATAATAATAGTAATAATTTATATCGAAAGAAGCTACCGATTTATTATCACGTTTTCATTACTTCCTGAAGTACTACAAAACTATTTTATTTTTAACGTATTTGAGAATGAATGATAAAAACAATCGCGGGGTATATATATAGTCTTTTTATGTGACCTTAACAGGACCAGAAACGTGCTCTTTGTAGGAAATAAAATTCAGTGTAAAGTTTTTTATTATTTTGACACAAACGTATTATTTACAGGTAATGAATTAAACATGTGTATATACAAGTGATAATTATGTATAGATATAAATTAAACTCTGGAATAAATCCTTAACCTAACAGGGGTACACCGTATTTGGATTATCATTGGAGGATACGATATGACAGATATTGGTAAAATATGGCTACATGTATTTCGAGAGGACGTGTACATGTATGGTATTAGTGCAAGAGAATGCTTCTCCGTAAAGAGTTCACTAGAGTGCACGCGCGGGCTACCCGTGTAGCCCACTGTCAAATCTTGTCGCATAATTCAAAATTAGCGCGCTAAAGCGTTCGTGTCTAGTTTATTCCTCGAGTACATATCCCGCAGGGGCCAGTGGTGTACCGACTCCCGCAGCTCACGGATGTATTGGTAATTCGTCGCAAAATTTCTTCGGCTACAATACAATCTGCACATCATATTGACACTGAGCAAGAGAGCGACCAAGATAAAGATCAGTTATTTGCTGTAACATGTGTACAATGGTGTTGCAAAATATTACAGTCTCTACATGTTGTGTCCATTTCAAGACATGCAAATGTTAAAAATAATATAAGAAGATATAGACTTTTAAGTGTCGTTTAAACAAATGTGAAAAAAAATGTCTTACATGAGCTTGACACTTTGTTATAGATTTTGGGTGCCACACAGTATATGCTTTTGCTCATGAGTGTTGTCTTAGCAGTACGCATATATAGTCTATTGCTATGACAGTCACGTCGATTGCGAGCAGTTACGTCTGACAACTGAGGAAACAGCTGTGGATTAGTTTTCACAAACACAGCTGTCTCATAGATAAATAGGCTTACCTTAGTTAAAATCCTGTATCTTTCAAAATATGGTCTACAGGAGTCGGTGACTTGCAGACCGAAAATATCCCTGATGCATCGCTTCTGTAGCTTAAATGCAGTTTCTTTCTTAACAGGATTGTCCCAAAAAGTAATGCCATACCTCAATATATTCTATTAGGCCGTGATATGCAGTTAATGATGCCAATGTATCCACTATTGGAGAAAGTTTATAGAGGGCATATGAATGGCTACTTATCTTTTTAGCTAAATCTTCCACATGTATCCTCCAGTTCAATTGCCTATTAATAGTTAGTTCGAGATTGGCACTTGGCATTGTCTATAGTAGTCACAATGGTTTCCTCGTATCTTATGTTAAGTTGTTTATTTTGCATTCTTTGACTAAAATGCATTATTTGAGTTTTCTCTAAGTTTAGTTTTAAATTATTGCTATTCATCCAGGTAATTATTAAGGATAGCGCGTTGTTAATATCGTTTTCATATTTGTCCAATGCATTAGAAGCTACTGTCAGTGTGCTGTCGTCCGCAAATAAATTAATAGGCTGGTTAACTGAACCGGAAAGTCATTAATATAGATAATGAACAACAGAGGGCCCTGCACACTACCTTGTGAAACTCCGTAAACAACTGTGCGTTCATCTGATTTTATATTAATTTCTCTCTTTGGCTTAAAATCGACACCTGTCAACGCTATAAACGGTTTTGTGTTAGACAGATATGATCAAGCAAATTTAGAACGTTTCCTCGTATACCATAACGTTCAAGCTTATTTTTTAGTATAATGAGGTCCACGTGATCAAATTCCTGCGTCATATCATAGTACACCGCACAAACAGGGTTTCTTCAATCCATATTTATTATAGTTTTATCTATAAACTCGTTACATTGGTTGACGTATTTTGCCTAAAACCCTTTTATGTACTTTATGTACTTCTTAAAAACCTTTGAAAATATGGTTTATATAGAATAGGCCTATAATTTGACATTATCTCTTTCTTGTTTTTTTTTATGAATTGGTTTAATTGTGGAAACTTTCATTCTTTCTGGAAATATACCTTGACATATTCACAGATTTATTATATAGCTTAGATGGTGACAAATGAGATTACAAAATGATTTTACAATTTTGGTAGTGATTCCATCATACCTTACACTTTTAGTATTCCTCAAATTTTTGATAATGATCAAAATCAGATTGACTCTTTTAAAGAAATACGAGAATCAGAAGAGGAGTTGGTTGATACTCTTTTTGTAGTAGAGTTCGAGATCGCAGCACGCGTAAGCACTGCAGCAATTGCATGAAGCGTATTTGCAGTGAGTTTCAAGAGGTCGTGTCTTCGGAATGCTTTCTTATTGAATCAAACAATACAACTTACATTAAGAAGCGGACTATATTTGTGATTAAAATCCTAATAAATTGTGATTACAGGGATCCTATGCATGATCTCAAGTTTATTAAATTGATTGAGTATTAAAAGCTTTATTTTTTTTAATATTTTAATTAAAGAAGCAAAGTTTTGTTACTTTTGTTTATTATTTAAAATTAAAATATAGACATTAATTAATAATGTATGGTGTTTATTTTTTTATTCTTATAGATATAGAGAAACATGACCCAAAAGTGGGCTACATAGCTAGCCCACTTTTAGGTCACTCAAGAAGTGTTTTAGGCTCATGCAGTCCGATGATATATAAACTAATACAGCCAATGTTCGAACCCTCATATAACTCTAGTAACAGATACGAGTACGATTTAACTCGAAGCGACATAATTATGAAGTTGAAAATAAATATGTGTACGAATTGAATCGATTCCATACTAATATAACTACTACGTTATATCTCCGGTGATGCTTTTAGATATTGGAATGAAGGTCATTTAAATTATTATTAAGTGTTTTCCAGAAGTGACAAAAAATTAGTTGCAGCTTAAAAAATCTCTGTAAAAAACTCTGGGAACTTGCTTTGTTGCTACAATTTTTACAAGTAAACAAGTACATAATTGACCAGTGACGACCAATTATGGCCAAGGCCAAACGCAAGCTTGCAGATAAAAATGACAGCGAGAGTCATCTAATGAATATTATAGTTGAATTAATAACATAAATTATGGCCTAATATTTAAGAATAATAAATAATCACGTAACGAACAAATAAACACACTATTCAAAAAGTTCTTCCTGGATAATTGTTTTTTTCATTCAAATACGTAAAAATACACATGTTTCTTGATACTGCAGACCAATTTTCTAAAACTAGCGTGTATTTGGCTGTTGTCGGTTTAATTTTGTGTTGCTAATATTACAGTGAATTAAGACAGCCTGTGTATGACAACTGAATAATTTATAATTCATACATATGCATATAACGTCCTAGTCTCCGTATATTTTTAAAGTTAAATGACGACGTCGACGTCAGGTTAAACAGGTTAGTTTTGTATTATGTTGGTTATGTATGAATTATTATTACAATCGTTTAGAAAAAATAAATTTAAAACTTTGTTTTGCCAAAGACTATAAATCCGTGTAACTTTTGTGCGTTGTAATTTCCTATTAGACAAAGACAATTTTTCCCCTTCATTTTAAATTTTATCATCGTGTGGTTAGCCTTTGTTTTTTTATCCATCGCCTGTTTCAACTTAAGTGATTTAATGGTATTATTTATACAGTATTAAAAGTTTGGATAAACTTTATTCCAAGTCCATGATCCAAACACTCCGTTTCTTTAAAGTATTAAGTACCTACTCAGTAGCATACAGGAAACTGCCCATAATCACAATAATGCAATTTCTGTGTAAGACCAACCTCAACATTTAATTTTTATATTTTAAGGATTATATAGACTACTTATGTATGTAAGTACTTTGCGAATGCCACTCATTGTTGGCTCGAATAGATTTATGTGAAGCCTTGAAATCAATGTAGGGCCGTCTGTCTATGAATAATGATTAGATATTTTCTGGTTTTGATCTCAGGAATGGCATGTAATTTGGAATTCACACGTTTTTGTGTCTATGTACTAAAGCACAGAATATAAGCAATAACATCTAATGGATATCTTAGAAATGCTTAGAAAAGCTAGAGTTTGTCAAGTCTGGTACTATCCCCAATGCATGGTATTGTGTATACGTGTTATGCGAGTATTTATAAAACGACATAATACTAGCTACTGCCCGCGGCTCCGCCCGCGTGTATGTCGGTTATCTAGGTAAAAAGTAGTCTTTATCACGTATCAAACTATCTCTATACCAAATTTTATCTGAATCGGTTCAAAAGTTATTGATTCCCCATACAAACTTCCACTCCCCTTTTTAAACCTTAAAGGATAAAAACTATCCTATGTCCTTTCCCGGGACTCAAACTCTTCTTGTCTTTTCTCAAACACCTATTTTTATACCAAATTCCGTCGAAATGTGTGATGAATGTTGAAGAGACGCCAGCTGATGGTCGGTTCGTGGCAAATTTCTAGCTATCATTTCTGATATTCTTGTTGTTCTGTTCTATCATCTTTGATTTGAATGATGGGTGAGCCAATTTGTTTTACATACACACTTTCTTAATTACTTCTTCTTAAATCTGACTGCACGGATGGCGTAGTGGTATAAGCGGTCGCGACGCTGCTTACTACTGCGCTGAGTGTTATTGGTTCGATCCCCACATGGGACGATACTTTGTGTGATCTACAAATTGTTGTCCTTAGTCTGGGTGTTCTTTGTGTCCGTTTCATGTATGTTTGTAAAGTCCCCCGCGACACAGGATATATTCCTAGTGCGGGACTTGTCTTTTTAAGAAAAAAAGAAAAAAAAA